ATATATATAATTGAGAAACAAATAGCAATGAGACAGTTTATTATGATAAAAAATATATTGCCATTAAACCCTCTCAATATTGTCCCCTTTATTTCACTGCTCTTGGCACTTTCTTAGGGAGTTCTGGAAGATCTCAGTAATTTTCTTGAAATGACATGGCTGACTTGATACCTGTAATGGATTCAAAATGTTCGGACTTCATGATCATTTTTACATTGGGGAACAGCCAGAGCTCACATGGTGCCAGCTTTTGTGAATAAAGTGGGTGAGGACACACTATGCTGTTTTTACAAGCCTGCCTTTCTGTTGGATGCCACTGGGCAGCAGCACTTAGTGTATTAAGATCATCTCACAAAGATGGTCACATAAGAAAACTTTCAGATTTGCTTCAGAAAGTGGTAAGGAAAATGAGGTGAGTGGCAATGTCCTTCACATATCTGAGCAACACAAACATTCACTGTAGTTTTCAACTATGCCTCATATATTTGTCAAACTAATTTTGAAGTCTCTAATTTAGATACCTTTAAAGAACAACATCTATTATAGCCATTTTTTTTAAATCTTGCTTTCCCTTTCTCCTCTTTTTCCCTGCCTTATTTCTTCTTTTGAACTCCTTTTTCCTATTAAAAATTAGAACAAATAGTCCTCTAAGAATCATGAGAGTCTGGTGAATGACCCTCAAATTCTTAAAGATACTAAATAAATTTAAGTAAAATGTGAAACTATCTTTAAAGCTGAAAAAATTGTCCAAAGTGTAAAAAAAAAAAAAAAAAAAGCCAGTGTAGGCGGATGGACAGAAAGTGTGCTTTTAAGCGGTGATGGTACTGAATAAAACAAATGTCCTAGTGAAGGAAGAAAGAAGTTCATCACTGTTGTCCTTGGCAAATGTTTCCCATTTCCTAAAAGGACAAGGACATGCAATAACACAATAAAGGTGACGAATTTGTCTTAAAAGGCAAAAACTGAAACACAGCACCCATTGAGTCTGTTCAATTATCTTAAAACAGGAATATTCTATAAATCAATAAATTATAATAAGAGCATAATATTTAAAGCTCCCTCATGTTTCCTTCCACTCCAACACACACAGGAACCTAAACGTCCAGTCTTTTCCTTTCTGATGCTTCATGTTCTTGATGTTTCTTCCCAAATGTGTGATCTCTACCTGCCTGTATTCCTTCATTCACTCTCTGCCTCTTTGAGGTGCTCTTGAAACACACAGGAAAGCCAGCTCTGGGTGTGCTGCGTTCCCTTCAGACTGCGACTGAAACCTGACAGCCGCAGAGCCTGTTCAGCACTCATGCCCTCCACGCCTCACTCAGGCGGGCGCAGCTCTCCTGAGCTCTGCACCTACTGCCTTTGCCACTTGATTGCTTCAATCCCAAATGTTAGGCAAGACTATTCAAGTACTGATTTTGAGAAGTGCTGGTCCCAAGTGTACTTTTCTAAAGATTGGCTTTTGTGAAATGACTACGGTAGTCCTTTACTATATCATTAGTACTGTGACCTTAAGCATCTTAAACTAAAATACTCCCCACAAAAAAAGACCCAATTACCATTGTGAAGGAAAACAAAACTCACCCTAATTTGATTATTCTGAGATAATTATTCACCATTTTCACAATTTCCTTTATACTTTCATGACTGTACTTATCTTGCTAGGTGAGAAATTTTTATTTAAAGTGAATGCTCTGTAATTGTTTGATTACATTAAAATCCAACTGTAGTTTTCACTGGAATTTATAAAAAATTGATTTCTCAAAACTATTCAGTCTTCTGATCTAGGAACAGGGTATTTCTATTTTATAATTTCTACTTTGAAGGTCCTACATGATGCTGCTAGAATTGTTACTGTTTCTTATAGCCTTTGTGAAATCTTTGCTTTCATTTTATGTTCACTGTTATTAATAAACAGCAAAGAGCTTTCTATGTAAAGAATAAATGGCAAAACAAATGTAATATACTCACACACCATATAAACTCGTCTTTTATCTTAAATTCTTCAGTTGATTTTAGGGTAATTTAAGCATCTAACATATCTTTGGTACACATTAATACTTACAAGTAATTATGTACAGCATGAGGTTTCAAGTTAGTTTCTCAAGTAATTTTTAAGTTTTTTTTTATAACTAAGAGAAAAAAATTCTTTAATCTCATATTGATCTCGTGTGCTGTATTCATCACTGAATTTCACACTCTATTCTAAAATTTCCACATGAATTCCAAAAATTTTATATATAAATCATAACTGTAATTCATGTTTGTAACATTAAAAACATGAAAGTACGAAATATTTGTATTATAAAGATTTGACACTCTTATTTTTTACTATTATGTATTTGGTACAGGGTCTCATTATGTACCTCACACTCAATAGTGATATTGTTTCAGCCTCCCTGGCACTGGGATTAGAAGTGTGCACCACCACACCTGGTCTTGGAAGGCGGGTTGCATGTGGAGCGGCCAGCACAAAATGTGGTATCAGGATAGAACCTGGGTCCTTGTGCTTGTCAGGTGCTAAACTGCTGAGCTATCTCTGCAGCTCCTCTTACTAAGTTATCGTATGTATATATTGGTAGGATAGCATTGCATCTTTTGTTTCATTATAAAATATGGTATTTTCTGTTTTATGGATAGTTTAAGAACAACTGTTCTTATTAGAAACATTTTTATTATAGAAGTGTCACATTGTAATTTTCTGGTCTACTGTGTCAAAAATTGAAGTGTTAAAATCTCCCAGTGAATTTTTTTTCTTAATTTTTGATAACTTCTTCTACTTATAACAGTTGTTCTCTAATAGGCAAATAAAATGAACCATAATATATGATGCATTAGTTTTGCTACTATGAATACTTGACTGTTTTTGCACTGTATCAATAAACATTTGCCTATCATTTTTGCTCAGTTCTTTTATTTTCTCTGTTCTTTGAGAAGTGAATTTCATTTTCCACAGCTCTCTAGATGTATAACTGGTCTAGAAGGACACAGGTATTTAGAGTATATGAGCTGATACTTTAACCTCTGACTTCACACCTCTGGAGCTTTCCCAGGCCCTATGTAATGCCTGCCTGCAGCCTTTCGCCACTCTTCGGACATTCACTGATCTGCTATTGTAGCTTTGTATTTGCTCAAATTCTATTATGAATGCAATGAAACACTTTCTAAGAATTAGCATAATTATTTTGAGATTTATCCATGCTGTTGTAACAACAGTTCTTTATACTGTTCATAGTATTCTAGTGTGTACGCATTTCCTTGTTGATGAAGATATGGATTGTTCCCAGTTTCTGGCTGCTACAACACTGGCAGTTAACTGGTGTTTTATGTACACAGATGCTTTTCTTCCTCGTGGGTAAATGTCCAGGACTCAAAAGGCTGCAGTGTGCAGCAGCTCTTCAGTAACTTTAACCGTCAAACTGCGTTCTAAAGTGGTTTTACCATTTTAGATCCTACCAGAAATGAGTACATGAATTCCTCTGTATTTTCATTCATGGTTGGTATAATCAATATCACCAAATTTAGTCATTCTAATAGTACAGTCCTATGTCACTGTGCTTTTAACGTTCATTTTTCTAGTGACGAATAAATCTATCTTTTTATGTGTTTGTCAATACTCTTTCTCCTCTGGAGAAGCAACTGTTCCAGTCTTCTATAATTTTTAATTGAACGCTGTCTGCTCAATTTGGAAAGCTCTTTATGTATTCTTCCAACTTTAGTAAAAGGTTTAATATGAGGTTAATGTTGCTTTTTATCCAGTGATTTGGAATTCATAGAATTATGCTGAAACATAAAGTAATGAATTTTTACGTTAGAAAAATAGTTCAATTATCTTTTACAATTCATTTTTGATACAATTTTATCTAATGCAAGGTATATTGCAAAATTTTCTTCCTTGTGCAATTTTTTAGTGTAAGTTGTAGAGTTATGCAATATTAAGTTTTTGTTTACTGAAATTCTTAAATGCTCTTACTGAAATTTTAAAATATATTGTTTTCATGGTTTTTAAAGTTAGTTACTTTATTCACAACCATGTTTAAATCTTCAGTATTTCAGTGGTATCAATACTCATTGAGCTCAAAGGGCCTACTTGCTTTTTGAATCCTTATATTAATCACAAGTTCATTAAAGTATAGTTTTGAATAACTCCTTTTTCGTAGAAAAGTGTAAGGATGATACATAGTAAGGGCACAAGAAATCAAAGCTGCCACACATGAAATACATACAGAATATTAAGGTCACTACAATTACCTTAAAACTCTCAAGTGTCCCCTCATTATGGGTTCAGTTACTTAAAAGTTTGGCCATACAGATTTAACACAACTCTTCTCTCCGTTTTTACCAAATGAGTTTCTTTTCCCTCTAGGCTACATTCTTTTTTTTAAATGTAGCTTTGAAATTTAATGATTTCATGAGGGTGTATCTTGGACCTAACTTCTTACACTTGCATAATCTATAATATTTTGAGCCATTTTATCCTACCATTTCAAGATTGTTTTTATTATAGAAAAACATTCTTTTACATTTCTATTACTGCTTTTAGTGTCTGATTCTTTTCCTCAAGAATGTCAATTCCTTTTGATTAACTTTTTTTTCTTACTTAAAGAGAATGCAAAATGGTAAAAAGAAAAACGAAAAAATATTAGAAATAATACAGAACTTCACATTTTATTGTCTTTCCTGTTCTGAAGTTTTTATTTTCCCTCAGGAATGTCTGGATATTCTCAAATTTTCTCTACCAGCCTTTAATTTCCTATTCATTGTTCTGGTTAAATCAATTCATATATAATTTTTAACTTTCCTTCTGTAATGCCTCATTCAGTCATCTGCTAGTCCTACTTCCCATCTTAGTAACAGCTCTTTTATTTTTCTGTGCTTCTTGTATGATTTTTTTGCATAAATTTTGTTGAAAGGAAAAACACATTAAACTTTCAAGTTTGACTCTCACTTTTGTGAACCTATAGGGCAGTACAGCATCACAGTGCAATTAATAAACTGGTGAATAGTGAACTGACATTTAGGGTATTCGTGTAGATCTTTGGACAAATCTTTTGCAGGGCTTCAATAGTAGCATAGAATAATTTCTGATATGGCCAGCCAAATAGCTCAGCAGATTAAAGTGTCTGCAAGCAGGCATAGGGGTCAGGGGTTTGATCCCTGGGCCTGCTGTGCTGGCCCTGTTCCCAGGGCAAGCTCAGACAGCTATCAAGACTGGGCAGGATGATGCATGCCTGTAATCCCAGAGACCCTGAACCAGTTTCTTCCCTAAAAATACAGGGAAAAACAACAAAAAAAGAATTTCTGATGTCATGGACCTTTATTATCAACCTTCAGTTCTAGAAGATTGATTTATATCACTAAAGAAATGTGCGAGTCCCTGTCCAAGAATTTACACCACTACTTTCAGTCTTTTATACTCCTGTTTTCTCTGTGGCACAGTCCTTCTAAGGGGTAATAGGATTCCAGGTTCATTGTGACTTACACTTGCTGGTATAGGAAGAAAAGTGGGAATAATCCAAGGCTTTCTTGACAAGAGACATGTGAAACCCAAATGTATTTCCTCAATTTCCTTAAACCCTTCCAGAAAGTTCTCCACTTAATTTTTGAACTTCTGTAGCTACAAACATTATGAATTCCAAAGCATAGGAGGTGTTCCCTAGAAGCTTCAGTTCAGATCAAGTAATGAATGGGGCTAAAATTAAAAAGTAAAACACTGTAACCAATACTCTCCAAAGTGTGGAAAGCAGGGCCTGGTGAGATAGCTCAGTGGTCTAAAGCTCCTGCTTAGGCAAGTGTGCAGGGATCATGGTTCAATCAATGGCACCACATGCTGTACCAGTCCCACCCCCCAAAAAAAGTGGAAAGCGAAGTTCATTAAGGAGCAACTAAAATCATTTCACTCAAATAAAAGGCTAGAAGGGAATTCAATAAAGTGAGAGGGAAATTCTATTATTTCTCATTGAGAATAAAGGTGGAAGAGATTTGTTTAGGAAGTTTTTTTTTTTAATCACTATAATATACTTTATAATGATGAGGCTTTTGAAGCAACTTTTAAATATTCATGCAACTGTCTTAAATAACTGAAAAATAGAGTGAGATCATTCTATTTGTGTGTCTGCCTGTCTAAGGGCTAATACGACCTTAGGTAAACTGGGACTCCAGTTTTTCATTATTTGTTTTGGTGAAGAGTACAGTATAATGTCTGTTATTTCTTTGCAAATTTGGTGTAATATGTCTTTAGTGTAACAGAAGCTGTTCATATAGGCTTTGTGATACTTCTCTTTTTCTTAGAATAAAATATTATTGAAATAATAATTAAATATTAAAAATCAAGGTTACTGTTGGAATGCATTTTTAAAAAGTTATGATTAGTGTCTAGTTCTATTCTGTCCTTTACATGTTCCAAATACATAGCTGTTACCCAAGGTGCTGGCTTCCCTTGCTGGAGAGCTTTCCTTGATCAGGTTGATCTGAAAATGTCTTTCTGGACAATCTAAAATTTTATATAGTTACTCTTTTGTTAGAAGTTGCAGAAAAAATGAGTAAGGGTAGACTGCTCCTAATACTTTCTCAAGATGGATGTGAATATAACTGAAACAAACTATTCCAACTCTAATTTTGTTACTGAGATATTACTAAAGCTTATGCGGATACAGTACAGTGACACAGTCTCTCAGATTCAATATTCAAATAGAATTAACATAAACTCAGAATAGAAAACTTTTAAACATCTTATTTTTTTATTATTTGATATCTAACAACCCAAGGCAGGATAACTTGCAGTTTCTGTATATTTCACTGCCATATAATCATATCAGTCCAAAAATGTTAAGTTTTGGAGGTAACTCTTCTTGTAGCTAGTTATAGATTGCTTTCTATAAAGTAAAATTACACTTGGGAAAATACACCTTCCAATTTAGTATTAAATCTGGGCAAAAAAGTTCTAAATGATGTTATAAAATGTCCAGAATAACAGCCATGTATATTTGGAACGGAAGACCATAAGATACATTACTGTAGTAATGTAATGTTCCCTTCTAACTCCTTTTTTACTGTGCTCTGAAGAATGATGAAAAATGTTAGAAGTGGGATAAAAGAGAAAGATGCTTATATTTGTGAAAATCACTACTAGTTTTCTTTCTTCAGTAAGGCTTGAATTTAGTCCAATGCCACAGCAGATGCTAATTAGTGTATACTTCTAATATTAGAGCATTAAGATTTTGGCTATGTGTTTGTTTTTCCTAGACCCTAAAAAGATACTACCTGGAAAAAGGTTTCCACTATTAGTAGCACTTTCTCAGTCTGCAATAAGGTTACCTAAATTTGAGTTATAATATCCAGAACTAAAGAAGCAATAACTTCATAAGGCTTGGCTGGCATACAGGAAGGAAGTAAGCACTGTTAATTCTTCATACCTGCTTGAAATCAGGGGCTATGTCTTTCTTCTTTTATCTACTAACATCTAGCCCAGGGCAAACTTGAATTATATGCCAAATAATTATGTACACTGGAACTAAGATGACCCTTTTATATGATTAATATTGACTGACATGAGTGAAATATGGAATAAAGTCATCAAGGCAAATTATGCCTTTTTTCTTCATTTTCAGGAAGAGTATGATAACACCCCCACCTCCCACCTCCCAAGCCAAAGGGGTAAAGTAATACAGATACCTTGGACTTTGAAGAGTGCTCAGGCACTTTCTTGGAAGTGCTGTTCTTGGTAGTACTTGGAGACTTTAAGCAACAGTTGATTTGTCCTTAAGTTAACCCTATTTCACATTCTAAACCAGGGCCAGAAAGTTTTTCCTCTTTGGATCTTCTGTTCTTCAAGGGAAAAACTAGCTGGAAAAAAACTTTGTGAGACTGAAACGCACATGTAAAATATATTTTCTATATTCCACAATTTGCTTACATTAGGTAGTTACACTATTTTAAAGCCAAAAACAGCAACACACAGTTAAATGGTTTTTATCAATAACACAAAAATGTTAACATTTAACTAAAATTTGCATCTCAGTTTTCCTCATCTTTTTCATGTTATGTCATCTTTTTCACAAAAGATTTATGGAGCTCTTTGGAAGACACCATTTAATATACAGGGAAGGCTGTACACAATGCGTTCTGCAAATAGAATGTAGGATAATTGATAAAAATTGCTGACTTTTAAGTTAGAATATACCTCAATGCCAATGATAGGACACAGGAATGAAGCAAAACTATTACCCCAAGTCTTTTGAAAAAGTAAAAATTGATGTAAACTTGTGGTAATGTCAGGTTTTAATATTTCTTATAAAACTCAGTACTTGTAATAATGAAGATTTAAAAAGCTATTTTAAAATTTAAGATTATCTGAGCTAATACAAAATTTAAACAATTTTAAGATAAGCTAGAACAGAAATTTGAATAGGGCATGTTTGATAGAGCTAAGTACTACAAACACACTTCACAAATTGTACTCCCTAAGCGCTAAGCAATTGTTTCTTCTATTTCATGTACGGGATCACTCTTTTAGGTTATTTGTCCTTTCATAAGATAAATTAAAAAAATATGTTGAAGATAGAAATATTTTTTCCCTGAGAAGTCATAGAGCAAAAATGTAGTTACACTGAGGGCCAGCTAGACAGCTCAGTGCACTAAAGCACCTGCTTAGGCAGAGCTCAAGGGCCGGGGTTAGATCCCAGCATGCTGTACTGGCCCCATCCCCCGTGGCACTCTGAGACAGTGATTGAGAATGGACATGATGGCATGTGCCTATAACCCCAGTACTTGGGAGGCTGAAAACTGGAGAATCACTATGAGTCCAATTTCTATAGTGAGACCCTGTAGACCCTGTACTAAATACATTAATAAAATAAATGTTGCATGATCATAGGTAAGTGAAATACCAGGACTTCAAAAAAAAAAAAAAAAAACTCAACATAAGGCTGCATCTTATTTGTGATCAGCTGAAAGCCTGCTGAGCTATGAGCAATCACCAGTTAAAGACATCTTCTATAGCTACTCCCCTTCTCCAGTGACAAGCAAAGTGTGCTTTATCATCTTGGAATTCTTCTGCATTTGAATGAATCAACCAAACACAGTTTTGTATACCCCAAACCTATCCACAAAAATATCAGAATTAGAAACTATTAATCTCATGTTCTCATTTTATCTTTTTTCAATATTAGCTAAGTTATCCTGCTTTCTGCCCATTTCCTCTTGTCCATTACACTAATAAATCTATTCAAAATGAGAGGAAAAATACACATGTAGGAACAAGGCCTCATTTCTCAAAAAGAATTTATGATTATGAACATTACATTATACCTGTAAATCTATAAATTCAGTCATGATGAATATAATTTGTAATCTAAAATCCAGAGGACTACTGTATGTACAACATCATGGTGCTAAATATAGTTAATATAAAATTGACTTTTAGCCATGTATTCAATGGTGAGGCTTTGGGACAGCGATTTGATCATGCAGACAATGACCTCATCAATCCACTGATAAGTGCATTAGCTGAATTAAGGCCTTCCTGGAGGAAGCAACGCACAGGGCATGGGTATCTGTAAAGGGCGCATTTATCCCTAGCACCATTTTCTCACCCTCACCCTGTTTCCAAGTTGCCACACGACACAGAGCTTCCCTCCACCAAATCCTTCTGGCATGTTCTGTCTTGCTAAGGGCATAAAAAATCAGAGGAAGCTGACTGTGGTTTGATACTTTTGAAACTTTTAGCTAACATCTTTCCTTTTCTAGCTGAGTTAACACATCAACAGAAAACTAACTTACATTCTTTAATCCCATTGTCTACCAATTTGTTTTGGTTTATAAATTTTCTTACTCAGAGTATATAAAAGAAATTATATACCATGTGGCTTTTTGTGTCTAGATTTTTTACTTAGCATAGTTTCATGGTCACTTCATAGTATGAAGTATACTAGTACTTCATTTCTTTTAATGGCTGAATAATCTGCTACGTGGGTACACTCATTTTATCATCAACTAATGAATATTTGTGTTGTTTTACCTGTAGCAAATAATGAATACTACCACTGTTTGCACACAGGTTAATATATACACCATTTTATATTTTCCTGGGTACATACAGAGGAGCGGAACTGCTGGATTATAGGGTGTTTGAAGAACCACTAAACTATCTAGTGTGCTCACCACTTTCCAACAAGCTTCAATATTTCTCTACCCTCTCCAATATTCTTTCATTTCTCCTTAAATTATGCATATTTTGAAACTTGTGAAATGGTCTCTTATTGAATACTGTGATTTTGCTAGATTTCCCTAAGAACAGCACTGACCATCTTTTCATATGATTGTTATTATTTATATATTATAGTAATTTTTATTCAAGTTCTTTGCCCACTGTATTAATTTCCTAAGGCTGCTGCATACTACAAACTACTGGGCTAAAGCAATAGAAACTTGTATTTTTTATGTATTTCAGGTTAAAAATAAAAAGTCAAGGTACTTGCATGGCCACATTATCTTAAAACTTCATGGCTATATTCTTACAAGTATCACACTTTCAATAGTGCTTGCATATTACCTTGGAATTGATTTGATGCCTCAAATGTTCACATTTCATGGTCATTTTTCCTTTGGGAAAGAGCCAAAAGTTGCATGGTACCACGTCCCATGAATCATGCAGGTGAAGGCACACCGTGTTCTCACAAGTTTGCCTTTCCACTGGATGACACTCGGCAGCAGCATTTCACCATTTTTGAAGACACATTATGGAAACAGAACAAATCTGCTGGACACGCCTCAGAAAACAGGAAGAATGATGGAATGTTTGAAGTGTTATTGCAGTATGATCTCACCTAAACTGACTGTGTATGTATCAACTCATTTTTTCCAATTAGAGTCACATTTAGAAGTGCTGTACTGGGGTTGGAGCTTCATTAAATATTAGGAAGAGAGCCATCCTGAATAATAACAAGCATTTTTTTATGGAGATTTTGTTTTATTATTTTGTAAGAGTTCTGTATATATTCTACATCATTATGAGACGTCCCAGTCAATATTTTCTGTATTTCTGAAGGCTGTATTCTCACACTTTCAATAATGTTTTCATAAATTTTTAATGTTGATGAAGTCCAATTTATCCATTTTTTTGTGATTTTTTATTTTGGTGCCCAATTTAAAAGCCCACTGCCAAATCTAAGGTCATGAAGATTTAAAGTTCTGTTTCTTGTGTTTTATATGCTGACTTACTAAGTTTAATCATTGAGCTTGATCCATTTTAAGTTACTTTATTATATATGGCACAAGATAAAGGTACAATTTCCTTCTTTTTTCCCATGAATTCTATTTCCTTCAATGGTCTAAGAATCATCTGTTGCAGAAGCTATTTTTTAAAATCAGTAAATAACTAATTATGGGTACTTTTTGGGATTTTAAGTTCTATTACTTTATTTATATTTTAGTACAAGGTCTACAGGGTCTTACTATGTGGATTGGACTCATAGTGACTCTCCTCTTTTCAGCCTCCCAAGCGCTGGGATTACAGGTGTGCACCACCACGCCCAGGCGCAGTCACCCTGGGGGCGGGGCTGACACTTAAGTTCTATTACTTTAATGTAAGGCTACTCTTTGTTCAGTACCAAGTAGCTGTCAGTATAATTTTCTAACTAAGGAAGCATTATAGCAAATTTCAGAGCCACAAATGTGAGCCTGTCTTCAAATGGGTTTCTTCTTTTTTGAAATTGTCCTCTTGAAATAGTCTTGGTATACCGTTCAGGCTGGCCTTGTACTCACTTTGTAGCCCCAGCTGGCCTTAACCTGGCAACAATCCGCTCGCCTCAGCCTTCTGTGTGCTGGGATTACAGGCTGAAGCCAATGGATTTTAACAGACCACTGAATTTGTATTTCACTTTGGAGAGTACTGCCATTTTAAGGATATTGTTTTTCCATTTATATTTTCTCAACTTTTCTTTCATTTTTCTCTTATTACATTTACCCCTATTTTATTCATTTTTAATCTACAACTGGAATTACCTTCCTACTTTCCTCTTGTGGACTGTACACATCACTGGCATGCACATATTGGTTGTATTACATTAGTAGTCATATAAATATATAATCACGTTCCTGACTTTAGGCAAAAATTTTGCATCTTTCACCACTGAATATGTGAGCCAAACTTCTTCACAAATGCCTCTGCTCAGGTTGAAAAAGTTCTCTAGTTTCCAATTTATTGAGGTATTTTTTCTTTGTTTTAAAATCATGAGGTTTTGAATTTGGAGACATGCTTTTTCTCCAACAGCAGCACTCTGTAGTCAGTTCTGCATTTCTTTCTATAACGCAGTGTTGAGGCTACACTTTCCTCATACGCTGAACCACCTTTGCATTTCTGGAAAAATCTCACTTGCTTACACAGCGTAGACTTTTACAGTGTTGTTGGATTAGGTTTGCCAGTACTTGGCTGAGGAATTTTCCATGCATTATTATATACGATTTTGGTCTGTGATCTCTTTGTATCTTTGCCTGGCTTTAGAATCAAGGTAATACTAGCCTCATAGAACTAATTAGGAAATGTTGTGTTTCATTTTTTTTTAAATTAGGATTATATTCATACTAAAAATGTGGCATACTTCAGCAATATAGATATCTAGCCTTGGTTTGTTCATTTGGGGAATTTTTTTAAAGAAAACTGATTTTTAAAAAGCTGTTATAAGCCTACTCAGATTTTATTTCTTCCTAAGTTTCAGTACTTTGGGTGATTCTCGTAATTCATCCACATTATCTAGGTTATCTAATTTGTTGGTATTGTGTTACTCATAGTAACCTCTTATAATCCTTTTTGTTAGGGGCTAATTTTTTCTCTTTCATTTTTATTTTAGTAGTATGACTTTTTCTCAGTGATTCTACCTAAAGGCTCGTCACTGACTTTTTTCAGGAACAAGTTTTGTTTCATTTGTTTTTCTGCTATTTTGCCTCTGCTCTGCTTTCTATTTCCATCCTCATGCCAGCTTTGGGTATGGTTTACACTTTTTTCCAATGCCTTAAGTATGAACTCAGGACGCTGAGGTTGAAGAAACTTACAAACAAACGGGCACACATCACTATAGCTCCCTAAGTGTTGTTTTTGTGGCACCTCACAAATTGGAGTATGTAGATTTTTTTCCCTAATTCCCCTTATTTCTTCTCTGTATCTTGGTTGTTTAGGTGAATTAATTTTGTGCATATTGTCCAGCTTTTTGTATTACTACTTTTTAGATTAATGCTACTGCCACCGGAAATGCGGAGTTCAATTTTTGAAAATGCTGCCTCAACTTTGGCCTG